GATGACTGTTTCTTGCTCAACACTGAGAATTGGTCCATATTTATTTTACATAGAGAAATATATTACTCAATTCAACACAACAGAAAAAAATGATAGGTCACCGTACTCCTTTTCAAGAAAATGACGATTCACCTCTATATGGCAAGGTCCAGCCGTAAAGAAAAAGCCTCCATTTTTTAATGCGCGCACGCTAATCACGCGTGAAATCATGCGCAGTAGGGATGCGCAATGCAATACTGGGGAATGACCTTAATTGGGCTTTGGACAACCTGGCCCTAGGAAGGGCAAGTTTAAAACATGAAATGGCAAAATGACGAAAAGGCACCATGGGTTTATAGAGTCAATGTGGGATATGGGTGTCTCCTTGAGAGCAAGTCGATTCAGTGATATTTAAGCTCACCTGAGTGCTATTAATTATTAAGGCTAACCAGAGCATTACCATTTCGCCATTCTGTGTTTTAACACACCCATCTGGGACCTGTTTGGAAAGATTAACTGTGAGAGTAAAACTTTTCACCTTAAAATTATGACCTAAACTTGCTACGTAAATAATTAGTTCGTTCAGAGGGCCAATGATGAAAATCAACTAATCAGGTTGTTCCGTTGCCAGGTTGATTTTTTTGTAAGTACTGGTCAGGAATAGATTTGATTTGAATTTCATCTTGCTGATCAATTTGCCAACTATTCTCTGCCTTTTAAACAGGCCACCTGAAACGTTTTGGTGAACACAGACCATCAGAAGGTGAAATCACAAGCTTGAAATATGCTCCAAGTGGCGTTGACTTCTACCACAACTACATTCAGAAAAGGAAACCCGTGGTTATCAGGAATGGTGCTAATCACTGGCCTGCTGTACAGCTATGGCAAAATGAATCCTATCTGACATCAAATTTTGGATCTGACATTTTTACTGTGGAATATCGGAAGAAATTCAAGAATGAACAGCCGCTCAGGAAACCGCTATCATTTGGGGAATTCCTGAAAATATATAAATCTGATGATGTTTACCTCGATTCTTCATTCTCGCCAAACAGTCCTATGTTAAATGACATAATCCTGCCTTCAGTTTTAAACTGCCATGAGATATCGTCATCAATTGATAGCCTTAATTTATTGTTTAATAGCGGTGATGCCAATTCAGCCTTCCATCATGATGGATTGGAGAATATTCTTACACTCATCTCTGGCACAAAGACTGTGTACTTGGTTAATAGCACATACAGCAAGGATCTTTACGCTGATAAGTTTACCATTGTCCCAGGAGTGTTGTCGATTGATCCAGAGAAGTTAGACTTGGAGACTTACCCAACACTAGCAGATGTGCCTTATTATGAGGTAACTTTGAATAAAGGTGAGTGCTTCAAACTCAGGTAGTTACATGACTTGTATGAATAACACACATCTGGTAACTGTAGAATTGGATTCCATAGAAAAATAGTCAATACATCTCTACTATGCCATAGGAAGTACAGCTGATTACAATATAGGAAAGCCATTGTCTCTTCTACAGTATTACGCCCAACCTTCCCATCATGCACCATGCATACATGTATGTCACATTGATTGTGTTTTACCTTGTATTTTCTATGGAATGGCTGGAATAAAATAATTATGCAATGCCAAGAAAATACAAATGAGATGGGATATTCCACAGTATTGAAAGTGTTGCATAACTAGTATGTACATATGTACAGTATTATGCTGGAAGAACTTATCTCCAGACTTTTTGAAACCTTCATTACATTAAATTCTCTGTTAATAAAAATAAATATTACAAACTAATGAAAAATGATTGTCACTCAGGCAATATTTTTACCATAGTTATTGTTTATAATAATTATGTGAAAATTCCAATCATTTTGTTATAATTTAAATGAAAGAAAATTCAATCCCTCAGTCTCTCAAAACATTGATTTTCATAACACATAACATATCTCCTATGTAAGTACAAGTAGTATTTTGTCTTCCCCTGTTCCCCACAGTCACACACACAGACACACACACAGCCTAGACATATTCTACATGTATCAGTGATCCTGGCAAAAGTAATTAACTGTCTTTGAAAAGTCCTTTTAACCCATACAGTTGGAAATGTTACGTTATGAAGCCTGCACAAAAAATGCTTCATTGTTCTTTGTTTTTGACCAACAGGTGACATGCTGTATATTCCTCAGTACTGGTGGCACTTTGTCCGGTCATACAATGCTCCTAATATTGCTCTCAATGTCTGGTTTGCTATATTCAACTTTGAGCAACAATTTCGTGAGGCTGGGATCTCTGAAGATACAGATGTGACGAAGGTAATTTGTTTTAGCCTGCAATAGTTTAGTTTTCCCATTACAAGTAAAACTAATAAATGAATGTGTCATCCAGTGCTATCTAGTTCCCAGACTTCCTCTTGGTAGGAAGAAGAGAGGTCATGGCAACTGCTGCCTAGTTCCCAGGATCTCTCGTGGTGGGAAGAAGAGAGGTCCTGGCAACTGCTGCCTAGTTCCCAGGATCCCTCTTGGTGGGAGGAAGAGAGACCCTGGTAACAAGGTTGCATCAAGTGCAGACAGGTATTCACGTTATCCAAGTTTTAATTAGTGCATTTCAATGATCATTAGGTTTGACTTGTATTGTAAAAAAATGAGAATTTTGACAGTTATTGTAGGATATTCTATCAATTTTTTTGACATATGCTTTGTAGGTAACAGAGCTGTTTGACAAGCTTGTGCAGGGTGAACCAGACAAGATTCAATGCCAAGAGGAGAAGCACGCCTTGAACGCCATTCTGAAAATCAATGCCAGTGACCCCAGCAGTGGACCGTTAAGGATTCCAAGACAAAATGAGAGACCAGCAGACATCAAACTTGCAAGTGGATACACAAGTAAGAGTATTTTGCATCCATTACTGTCGACAAGAATGGAGGGACTATCACAACGTCAACAGGGTTATTGTGTATTAGAGAAAACCTAGTCATGAATGGACCAGTAGCAAAATTGTTACAGGATGAGTGAAGTGAACCAAAGTTTATTGTCGTCTATTTTTTTGTGTTTGGAATTAGCCCCAAATCAGTGAGCCCATTCAAATCATTGAGAGCTACTGAGCAGCACTTTTGAGTGGTGCATACATACATGTGGTACCTTTTTACATGTCTTTGTCATCATCATCATCATTGTCGTCGTTGTCGTTGTCGTTTTTGTCGTCATTGTCAGCAGCATCATCATCACCATTCCTATTAATTTTAACTGATGGTTTGGAGCTTCAAATTAGCTACCTTAAATAATTAGTCAGACAGGAGCTTTGGTCTTACTGTTATTCAACTGACGCATTCACTGTGCATGTTCTTTCTACATTTGCAGTGCCAGTAATGGGATTTGGTACAGCTACTCTGATGGAAAACACAACGGCTGCTGTTAAAACAGCGCTTGAAGTTGGCTACAGGTGATCAGACTCATAAAAAGGAAATCATCACTTATTTTAAATGCCACATTTGGCTCTGTTACTTCACATACTTAAAACTTATTTGAATACATCTATCAGGTCTTTAACAAGGCACAACTCAGCACTGTTACTTGGCTGCTAAGCCATAATAACTTTCTTATAAATATCTTCTAATGTGGAAATCAAACTGCTTTCTGGTTTACAGTGCAGTGTTTAGAAGTGATCACTGATAAACTGGACTGCTTTTTGTTGTTAACCCCTTCATTTTATTTTTCTAGATGAACTCTAAAACATTCCTGCCAACTGCAAGCCCTCCATACATGTACCTTAGATGAGAAATAATTTTATATACTTAAGACTGGACAGTTGTTGACTCAATGAAGTGTAACTTACTGCATAATTTCTAGAAGAGATCTCTTTCTCTACTTCACTGGCTGTTCTTAGAGGTCAGAAAGGAGCACAAATTATTTGTACATCAAGCACATATCATGTCAAAGAGCAACAAAGAGCAAAAAGTAGTTTCCCTGGAGGGAGGAGGGGAGGAAGGGAGAGAACACTTGCTTAAATGGGCTATGTAGGTACATGCAGTCCCAAAGGGTATGTTTTTTAGCCATTCTGGCCAGAAATAGGGTATGGTTTTTGCACTGTAGTCTTGAATTGGGTATGTTTTTTTAGGAGAAGCTACTTTTTCATCATTATCGATAAGACCATTAAAACAAAAGCCCCTCACAATGCCTTTAACATCGGTCTGAATGAGGGAGCTAATTATAAAGCAGGTCTGAAACAGGGTATTGATTTAATGGTGAGGTCTTAAATAGGGTCTAGAATTTGTGCTCCTGAAGGTCATAATTAGGTACAGGAAATCGCAGATTTTGGTTTTAAAGAGGGTAAGGGTTTTGGCAAGCCGGCCGCACACCCCCAACCAATTTTTATTGGAGTACTCCTGAGAGTAGTTCGTAAGCAATATTGGTCTGATGCTGGAATCCTTTCTCAATGTTTGTTTAGGTTGATAGACACTGCCCAAGGATATTATAACTCAGAGCCCCAAGTCGCTGAAGCCATTGCACAGAGTGAAATTCCTCGATCGGAAATATTTATCATGACCAAGCTACATCCCAGATTTTTAGGATATGATACAACTTTAGAAGCAATTGAGATGTCTCTGAAATCTCTGAACACAGACTACATTGATTTGTTTCTAATACACTCTCAACAGTGTGATGACTTTCTTCTGACCTGTAAAGAAGGCAAGTTTAATATTTATATTGCAATTACACAATAAATCCTACTGCTTTTATGAGGCATGAAGTGACAAAGAACGAGGTGGGCGGTGGTTGTTAGGCTTTGACAGGTAGATCCAATCCAGGGGGACCACAGTGGCACATAGCAAGACATTCTACCTCTGCAATGCTGACTCTCCCTCCCCCCGTCCTTCCCAGGAATTTAAAGGTGTACCGGTAAAGTATTGGTGAAACCTGACACAGCTAACCTTCACTGGATAGGTCATAAATGTTGGGCGATTCAGCCTGATTTTAGTGAACAGAGTCGTTTCCACCCCTCCCCCCGAAAAAAAAATATATTTAGTTCTTCTCACGTGGTACACAAGTCATTTTTCTACGAGGGAAGGAAGTCTAAAGATGACCCAAAAGCATGGATGAAAACAGCAGAAGAACACAATGATTATTTTGAGCTATGCGACACTACCGTTTAAAACAAGTAACCCAGCTACTACATTTTAGCATAGCATCCATGATACGAAAACCAGGGTAAACACAGAAATAAGAAGCATTATTGCGTCTCTCAGTTACTTCGCACGCTTTGATTGGTCAATTTAGCGGGCCGTACTCTACTGACATACAGCCCGCTAAAACTTAGTTGTTGCCAAAATGTCTCCTTATTTATCTCCACGTGTTCTAAGTAGTTTAAAACGTAAAAACTGTAGAACTTGTAACTACGCGTTGAAACGAGCTAAAGACTTAACAACGAGATCGAATTGACCCGTTTTGCTTTTGACGTAAATCGAAGGCGTTTCCCGTGGCTTGAAATCGTTTCAAGTCTTCTCGCTCTGTACTGTAAGTTATGGATCCCCGTTTTTTCCCTTTCGATTTACTCGGTCCGTAACTTACAATACGGACCTTGAACTCGGTCAGTTAGGTATGTATGAGTCACTTTAAGCCAAGTGCAGTCATTACTTTTAATACCGTTTGAGCCATTAATAGGTTCGCAACCGGCCTTACGGGGTGTTTCGGTATCAAACTCTTTTGTTTTCTACAGGAGAACCAAAAGGAACCTGGCAAGAGAGCTGGAAAGCAATGGAAGAAATGCAGAAGAAAGGAAAGATTCGCAGCCTGGGCGTAAGCAATTTTTATCTTCAAGACCTGGAAGAACTAGTTAAGCTTGCCACAGTACCAGTGTCGGCAGTTCAAAACTGGTTTGACCCGTTTCATCAAGACCGTCGGGTTAGAGCGTTCTGTGATGAACACAATATTCGGTACATTGGTTACTCTACTCTTGGTGAGTTTTTTCTGTAGATAAAGTATGAAAAAGTCTGCCAGTTTGAGCTTTAAACAACGTATTTAGTGCAAAGACCGGACCTGTTCTGTGTGATTAAAAAGTGAATTTGAATGAACCTGCAATTTTCTATACTTTTTTGAGAGGGTATGCCACAAACACGCCCACTGAAGAGGAATAAAGGTTAGCCTCAGCTCAAAGTATGGCTTTTGCGTAGAACAATATTCCAACAAGCGAAAATCTCGTTAGGCGTTACATTGGCAGAAACTCCCAAAATTCTTAAGCAGGTTTAAAGTGGTTCAAATAAAGTAATTAAATTATAGCGTTAGTGATGGTTATGATTACTGAAGAACAGTTCTATTTCGATATTGATGTCAAACTTGACTTGACTCAGTGCAAAGCTCTAAATATTTGTCCAAGAACCTGTCCACTTTAAGCCTCTTTAAAATATTGGAAATTTCAATTGTAATATACCAACAAGGTTTAAGTGAAAACACAGTAACGATCACGATTTCAGTCAACTCAAACGAACCTTTAAATATTGGAAGTGCTAAATTGAAGTCTTCCTTCCAGGAACTCAATGGGTCTACTTCCACGGTTTGCAAAAGAATCCCGTTCTAACGTCTTCGCTGATTTTGGAGATCGCCAGTCATTACGAGTTTGTCGCTTCTCAAGTTGTCCTTCGTTGGGCGATTCACATGAACGTGACAGTCATACCAAGATCCAAGAACCCTCGAAACATTTACTTGAATTTCCGAGCGCTGGACTTCTCTCTGAATGACGATGAAATCACGTATTTTAACAATATCACTGACTTTGAATATCACCCTCTGGAACAGAAGATGGAGAAAGGAATGGGTAATTATGAGTGCAAAAAACAGAAATCAAGCCTAAGATAAATGATTGATCGATAAGTGGTTTTGAGTTAAATAGAGTTAAAATAAACGATAGTCGAGACAAGTTATTTCAGTCTTAATTTTTCAAGAAGCATTTTCTATGACGTAACTTTGTTAAACCAATTTGGTTTATATAATTTTTTTGTACCATTATCAAGAGAAAACTAAAACAGAAACATGTAACCAGAGTGAAGCGTGGGAACTGAAACACGTAACCAGTGTCGAGCGCGGGAAACATGTAACTGGTGTGAAGCTTGGGAAAACATGTGACTATGTAATCAGTGTGAAGCGCGGGAAAATAATAATTTATTTAACCAGTGTTGAGCGCGGGAAAACATGAAGCCAGTGTGAAGCGCGGGAAAATGTGAATTCGTGGGCAAGCGCGAAAAACTTTTTTTCTAAAGCCACTTTTGATTTTGCTTTTGTTCCTGATCTGCTAATTACCTGATTACCAATCTTAGACCTCTATGAAAACTCTAAACCAGAGCAAATACACTTTTTGTTAAGTCATGGAAAATAAATGTCACAATTGTTACAATAGCAATGGTTATTCTCGAATACATGTAGACAGCGTTAATAATTCATTATTCCCATTTTAGCTTGCGCAAACAAGCATTCAAACTGTGAGCAGTGGGCATCCTCTGGTGAATGTCAAGCAAACCCAGACTGGATGCTGATTAACTGTCAAAAGAGCTGTGGACTGTGCTGTGAGTTGAATTCAAAACTTACGGAATTTATAATATTTTTATATTTGTTACAGGAAGAACATTTCGCGAGCCCGTTGCTATTTAATCCGGCGGTCTCCTTACCTCAGGTTGCTAAGCGACATGATGTATAATAATACTACTGACGAGAAAGGCTTCGCTTTCCTTGAGTCAGCTTGCCGTGTTTTCCGACTGGCGAATGAAAATCCGGAAAACTCTCCCGGTTTTCTTTTGGCTCGTGATTTCTAAGACGTATGTTAGACTCTGGAACCTCACTCAATCTACTAATGCCATGAACGTCTGTATCATTCTTTATTTTTTGATTCAGAACAGTGTTTATTTTGATTATTGTTTCTTGATAAGGTATTTTTGAACCCCGTTCATTGTACATTCTTTCACTCCCAAGAAGACACGAAAGTTCTTTGAAAACAAGATGTGCATGCAGGTTAATGAAGAGCAAGGTTTCCTCTCGTTTCCCGGTTATCGTTTTTACAGTCGTAAAGCTCGATTTTGAAACTAGTGAGCGCTTTCTCCAGTGGGTCATGTACTAGCTCTCGTAAGGTCTCTCATGAATGACTTGAAACCCTTTGAGAGGACAACAGGACAAACAACAGAAACAATGCCCCGTGGCCCCAAAACAATAACAGCTGCTGCAAAGACGACAAATAGAATTACAAGCTTACGAGAGCTGTTACACTACCTCCTAGTATACAAAAAATCTACTTGCATACACAAGGTTACAGCAGTAACAGGCATTAAACTTCTAATCGAACGACTATTTGTAAGAAACGTTTCATTCAGGCCCTTTTCTCTCCTTTAACAGATGACGAGGACCCCAGCGGTGATTCGTTAGTCGAACCACTCGTTTTCGTGGGTTCTGAAGATCACAACATGTACGCACTAAGCGCCGCAAACGGAAACGTCATCTGGAAATACCGAACTCTTGGCAAGATCCTGTCATCTGCGGCTCTCAGCCAGGACGAAGAGATTGTTTACTTTGGTTCCAACGATGGCAACGTGTATGCCCTTGCTGCGGCCGATGGTTCTCTCGTTTGGAAAGTGAAGACCGGAGGTGCTGTCGTGGCAAGCCCAACCGTGGCTGTGGACGGAACAGTTTATGTCGGGTCCCAGGATAAATTTGTCTATGCGCTGGATAGCAAAGGCGAGTTCGCTTTGTGGACTACAAATCTTCAGTGTCCCATATGGGGTGCTGTTACAGTAGACAACAAACGAGGGCTGTTATTCACCGGGTGTGCCTCGGATAAATCGAACACTTCGGACTCACGGGACGCATCTCATATTTTCGCCTTAAACGCTAAGTCGGGTGAGATCGTTTGGAAGTTCGACAGTGCCGGAAGCGTTTATGGCTCACCCGCTCTCCTGCCCGGCGGTCGCACCGTCTTCTTTGCTTCCCTAGACCATAACATCTACGCTCTTGACCGCGAAACTGGTAAGCTGTACTGGTCATGTGACACGGGTTCTGAAGTGGAGTCTTCTCCAGTGGTGAGTAAGTTAGATGGCACACTGTACGTCGGCTTGATCAAGGATCAGTTGATTGCTGTCGATACCATCGATGGACCTTTGGCGGGAAAAATCAAGTGGACAGTGAATACTGGCGGGGAGGTGGTGTCGTCACCTGTTATCACTGAGGATGGGAGGGTGAGTAAGAATAATTAATTGGCCTGTGTCAAGAACGATTATATCCTGCAATGTACCACTATTGGCTTGTATTTAGAATGAGCTCAAATCCTCTAGCGATTATAATCCCTCTTCTGTGGGAGGCGCTATGACCTAATGCTTAGCGCGCTCGTCTCCGGATTGAGTGGCAATGATATTTTATGTCATTGCAGTATGCTTGGACTCGTAATGTCCATTTAACGACCGCACTGGATATTGTTTTACTATGCGGTATTCTTGTATGTATAAGTAATTTTTGAGTCTCGTATTGTTACCCCCACCCCAAAAAAAGAGGTTTTACGAACGGAAAATAGACCAATTTTCAGCCTAACACAATAGACCTCAGTACGAGGCTGTGGGAATAACTACAGAGTTTGTGGGGCTTATTCCCCAAAGCCTCGTACTGACGTCTATTGTTTTAGGCTGAATTTCGTTCGATTATAATCCTCGTTCCCCTCCCCCTCCTCCCTCGTGAAAATCATGCCAGTCAAGAAGTCTTTTGGACATTATAAGCC